GATGGGCAGGCTGCTGCACCTGTGCTTATGCATGACTGGAACAAGGGGAAGGATTTTGCCTTCCAACACCCTCAATATGAATCAGTGCTTACCTAAAGGAGGCTAAACCTCTGCCCATCCTGTCACCACTTAACCCATCTTTCCTAACTGTTCTTCACCAAGGTTGATTATTTGCAGTGTGTGTACAATACCACCAGCAGCTTGCAGTTTTGAAGAAGACTCTATTGCAATGGGTTTTATCCTAATCTTATCTTCTCCTTCTAGTCCAAGTTCTGTTATTGTCCGTGATTCCCCCCAGACTTGCTTGGCCACCTAGCCCCAGGTTCCTTATCCCAGCTCCTTATCTGACTTATCAGTCTCCATTCACTGCTCATTCTCTTTGTCTGTAAGGCCTTGTTCTCCTTCTAGACCCAGTTCATGCTTTCTTCTACCTGTGGCACTCCAATAGCTTCTGTTTCCAGTCTTCTGCAATCTTCTTGCAGAAGATTCTTCCAGTCTTCTTCAGCAAGTCTCAGTCCATGTTGTCCTCTTTTTCATGCTGTTTATCTGTTGCTGATGTTCCTCACTAGATAAATGGCTCTGAGACCACTTATTTTTTTATCACCACTGAGTTCACCTTTCTATTTCAGTTGGTATCTGAGTCATGGACTCACCAGTCAGCCAGGCTTTGTCTTCCTTCCCAGTCCTGGTCCATGTCCATGGAACCTTTCACTTCCAGTTCTGTTATACTTTCTCTTCTGCTCTTAAAGCCTTAGTCTCACTTTGTCCCAGGCTCATTCTTTCCTGGACTCTTTGTATTGCTCTTAGTCCTCCCTCTGACTTCTTCCTCTGCCAGTGAATGATAGCAGTGGAAGCACCATTAGGCTACAGAAGAAATGATCTTCTTTTACCCTCACTTTGAAGCCCTTGGCCTGATGGCCCGTAACATTGCTATTACAGAAGGTTTTTCTGATTGTGGTGGCCTTATACTACAGTATCCTCACTTGTTCTTTGAAGCACCAGCCCAGTTTGATCAGAGCTAAGAGCATGCTCAGTGAGGGCAAAAATTTCACCGCTGAGATCTACAGCATAGTATTCAGCATGGTTAAGCTCTGATTTTCCAAAGATATGCAACTTGATAAAATTTGGACAGACTTTAATGAGATGGCAAAGGTATGTCCCCGCAAAATATCAAGTCTATGTGCCAAACAAAGGGGATTTAGGTGTGCTGTAGGAAGGATCTCAAAATATTTCCTAAGGTAAAAATCAAAATTTTTTTTCCTGTTTTCAGGAACAGCTGAAAGGATCCAAATATCCTTCATGGAAAATAAACAGACTAAATAACTACAATTTTGAAGAATAGAAGCATTTGAAAATAATGTCTTCTCTTAAGAAGTGTTGGACCTCCTTAGTGCTAGATGCTTGGTTGTTGACCACTTCTTTTGTAAAGCCCTACATACAGTTGCTTGTTGTGACTAGCCAGCACGAAAAATGGCAGTTTTATACTTCTGGAAGTAGGAAAATTCTAAGTTTTCAGTAGGTACCTGCTACCAGCCAGTTAATACTGGGCTATAAACATAAGATTATTACAAGAGAACCAACCACCAGGAACATCTAATTATAATTTTCCCCAGAGGTGTAAGCATAGACTCATAATAGTAAAGAGCTTGGCTTCACAGTAGGGAGAAAGTAACCCTAGGAAAAGTGGTATCAATAAAAAACCCTTAAAAACTCTCTACTGCATTTATAAAATACTTTTCAATACAGAATCTGACATGCAGAAGAACCAGGTGGTACTGTAAAGTTTATTGGCATTCATTTGTAGTGATCTGTAGAAGTCATCTGAATGTATAGTCACCGCTTCCAAGTAAATTGGCCGTTTAAAACCCATGCTGAGTAAAACCTTTATACCATCTTTGGATATATGTCCATGCTTTTTTTCTGTTTATTGGTGTGCACATGACAGGTACAATAAAATGTGCATTAATTCCCTGATGTTCAGAGATACATATATAAAAAAAAAAAAGCTGGCTTTTTTCGTAGTATAACAACACTATAGATCAGTCATTCAGAAGATAAGTAAAGGAATATTTTCTCCCAGAGAAACTCCGTAGAACTCCCAGAGGGCAAGCTGAAAATTTCTAGACACAAGACCCGGGTGTTAACAGCACTTGTACTGTGAAGAAAGCCGGGGGGGTCACGGGTGATAGCTGTTGATCAGAAAGGTCTGGGTTTTGTCTCCTTTGAAAGTCTTCCAGCATCAGAATGCTTTGCATTTGCATCTTTTGGTTCTTTACTGACTCAGCACTTTCCTGTTCTTTATAAGATTCTCTTTCCAGTGTGAACCATCCCACTTTTGTCTATTTTGGATAATCGGTTAAGATCATTGTGCTTGAGAGCAAGCCTGCAGGATAGAAATTCAGTACTGCTGACGTAAAGATGTTATGGGACCGTGCTTGCGTATGGTTCGTATTGTTATTCTGTAATCTACTAGACAGAAACTGGGGGCAGGCAGGTTGAAGGAAAAGAGGAAGATACCAATTGGTGCTAGATTATTGATACTGGTTGCATTATTTATCTGCTAGCATTGTGAGCCGGTTAGGCTCAAGAAGGGGAAGAACTGAACCTCTCAGTTAGATCAGTGTGATCCATCTTTTCTAACCATACCTGTACTTGAGAGAAAAGCTCTGAGTAGGTAGGATATACAGTCACTTTTTCCCCATTGAGTGACGCATATGTTGAGGCTGTTTAAATGGCAGTTATTTTTGTGGCCTGGCCACACTGTATGCAAAGGTGTGATTGCAGGTTGTGAAGGCATATAACTTAGTCTAAGCTAAGCAACCGGTCATTTATCCAGCTTTAACAGAATTACTCTTGCTTTACATCAGTGAAAGTATACTCAGACTCATTTAAATTTATTCACGGCTTAACTTTCTGTTATTGTTAAGATTGTGAGGGTGCTACAGGAGAAAAAATGGACTGTACAAGTCATTGTAAGTATCTTTGTTTTTTTCTTATGTTTAAGTAATATGTGCATAATGGGCTAAGCCAGCAGCTGAACACAAGTTCCTAGCTAGTGCAGTGATAGGAAGTTCAAAGGTATATCTAAGCCACTTTTCCAACTTCCAGGTTCCCAAGCAAGTCCGAGTCAGCTTCTGGTCAGATTTATTCCTACCAGTCCCACATCCACAGAGTACACTGGCAGTTAGATCACTGGAGTGACATTTCAGACATACCCATTTATCCTAGAAGCTCTGAGTGACCTATGCTTACTTCGCAGTTTTTGGCTGTATTAGCTGCGTCGTGGCTCTGTGTGGTCTCATTTGAGTCTCTCTTAGCACAGGCTTCCTCAATTTTGTTTAGAATATCACAGAATCACAGAATGGTTGAGGTTGGAAGGGACCTCTGAAGATCATCCAGTCCAGCCCTCCCTACTCATGCAGGGTCACCTAGACCACGTGGCACAGGACTGTGTCCTGCCAGCTTTT